ATAGGCTGACGATTTGCACTGTTAGAAATGCTTTTCAGCATCATCAAGACGCTGTGCCATCTTGTGCTTGTGCTCGTTTTAATAGTAGGAGGGGGCTGCAAATGTTTTCTGGAACTTAAAGCTCTTTCAGGTATCTCAGTTGATTCCGATTCAGAATCGGTTGAGTCGCTATCTTCATCCTCTACATGTTCCGCGAATTCTTCAATAAAAGAAAGCAGATCATTTTGTGCTGCAGATGCAGCGGCTTCAACACGTGGTGCCCTGTAACGGACATGCTTAACAATCTTCTTGCATTTTTTTAATAACTTGGATATTTCCCTTGTGTTTGCGATACCATCTACATTGACTAGATTATGGAGAGCATGACCAAGGCAAAGATGGTTATCAAAGCCTAATAAATTCGCAGCTCTCTTCATATTGCCACCTGCATCTGTGACCAAATAAATATTTTTTTGGTCTATTTTAAAAGAACGCAATACTTCCAAAATTGTGTCACGGATTGTTTCGCCGGTGTGTTTCTTGGTAATTTCTATTGTAGCCAGAGTAAATTTGATGAGAGTCATGTCTTCAGAATTAAAATGAAACGTACAAGTGATATAATTACGCCGCCTATATTGGTCGGTCCACATATCAGCGGTTAATGCACCAAAACGAGGACTTTGATTCGAAATAAAATTATTTACATACGCTAGCATACTGTTATACACATCTTCCAGTCCTTCTCGTGCTATGTTGTGCCTCGAGGGCAAATCGTCGGCGGAAACAATAATGTTGTACTTTTTCAAAAAGTCAATCATTGCATCATTTTCCACACTGTCAAATGGAATCAAAGATCTAGCAAACCAAAGAGCTAAATCTCGAGACAAAGACCACTTATTGCTGCTCCTCTTACTACTGCTACTGGTTGTCGGAGTCCTCGGAGAAAAAAACTGTGTTATGCTCGAAGGCTGCGACCTTTGTGTATCTTCTACACCATGTGCATCTTTCAAATGTCTGAGAAGATTACTTGTGGCTATTCCTTTAGAGTAAGCTTTCACTTGGGCCCTGAAAAGTAATAAATGTGAACTATACCATGTGATAAAATGTTAAAGAAAATGAAAAGGCTTAATGTGATGGTTTGACATTTCTAAACAATATCTGTAAAAACATCTAACAATTCCTAACATTTGTAAGTACATAAATGTTTTATTTACTACTAATTTAGTTATATTGACACTAGTTTAAAAGATAATACGTAAATAAAATAAATAGTTAGCTTGAAAGTCTGGAATTTCGGATTACTAATCTTGTTTTTCGAATACTAAATTCAATCTAGGAAAAGTAAAACTAACTTACTTTGAAAACAAACAATTCTCGTCTTCATTTTTTGCATTTCGTAGGCAAACTCCACAAAATACTTGTTCACTTAAAACAGCTCTCCGTTTTCCATTAAATTCTACTGCTAATTGTCCGAATTCTGTCCAGCAAAAACTATGTGTATGTTTTGTAGAAAGATTTTTCAGTGGTGTTATAAAAATGTCTTTTATTTTCGTTTTATAAACATCAATACTAGTCGAAGACACTGCCGCCATTGTTTACGTCACTTAACTATAACACACGTTCGCTCGCCACGGTGACAAACTCGACTGAGCGAGCGCAGCTCAGACGCGGTTCGGTCGGTCGAGTGGCGGTAGACTGGTTTGTACATGTCGCGACGGCGCGCCGCGCGTTTCGTTCGACGGCGGCGCGCTGACGCTAAGACACGGCGACGGCGGCGCGCCGGCGCGGCGCTCATATCTAGTTAGGGTAACCGCAGGTAAGCCGGGGAAGCGACTTGGAATTTGGTTACAATACAAACAGCCTACGGTGACTCGTAACTATATTGATTTGCTTAACGACTATTACATTTGTCCGACCTTTATGATCTTAAAAATGGAAAGTTATGGAGTCTACGCATTCTATATATATTCATGAGACAGCAAAGAACTCAAAATTATGGTAATACTAGCTTCCGCCTGCTGCTTCGCCCGCGTGGCACGTTGATAAAAAGTAGACGCTGTCCGTCTCGGCCTATGTCAAATTTCATCCAGATCCAACCAGCCATTTTGGCGAGATTAAATAACAAACATCCATCTATCGTAACTTTCGCATTTATAATATTAGTAAGAAGTAAGATACCTATGCAGCCGCTACTATAATTGAACTATTTGTAGTTTGCTGTTGTTAGCGGTAAAATAATATGTTTTCCCAAACAATCGTTGTTCAACAAACTTGATTAGTCGTCCCGCAAATGAGCCACTTTGTCTTTTTAACACCTTCCCGCCAACGCTAATAGGATTAAAACCTCATTAGGGTTTCGCGATGTAAAGGCCCCTTGTGGCAGCGGATTGTGGTTAGAAAAACCTCGCATTATTTATTTGAATTCACTCGACCATCACAGGTTCGCATTACTGTCATTATTTTGGGTCCTTATCTCTTCAAGGACAGAGATCCCATCCACTTTAGGAGACCCGATCTCCTCTTAAAGCCCGTATCATTATTTCGGTTATCGATCTCCTCGGATATTTCGTTATTCACGCGTTGTATCTTCATTAGGATTCCAAATGAATATGTATTATTGTATAACAGTATTGTTCCTCACTTAAGACATTTCATATTGATCGCTATGTAGCTGGATGACTCGTCTGTGGATCATATTGCTTACAATTATATAAAATTTTGCTTTGCGCAACTATTATCATATTATGGTAAGACTCACTCATTGTTATCATTTAAATGTGACCCATATTTCTGTAACAACGAATGTTTTAATGCCCTATACATTACACCTAATATAAAAATGACATTAGAAAAGTTCTTTGAAAAAAAACAGAACGGAAATGATTGCCGAAGAAAATTTGAATATTTAATTACGCATGTTGGCAACCCTATTGTGGTGACGTGAATATCAACCGGCTACAAGGTATCACGTGTAGCATTTTATTGTTATTAAACACGCAAAGTGAGTGGGACATGTAGACTGGCACATATTAGACGGCTTGGCCGGGGCGCCGAGAGCCCAGATTCTATTGTTTTTATATACCCGAGGGCGACCATGTACAGATAACCTACACGCAACATACTATTGTTTAAATGTCTCTAAAACAAACAATTAACTAAGATTGCTTATTTTAATAACTGCCCCCTTATTTTAGTCCATTTTAATAGCCCCTGAATTATGGCTATAGTTCGCTGCGCTCTTTTATAACCACAAAATCTATGAGCGGATTATGTTCACATAAAAATGTCTTAAAGATAAAATAGTGGTTGCCTATACTAGTTTGGTAGTTTTACCGATAGTACTAAGTATTAAATAAAGTGATACGATAACAGTCGTAGGTGTAAAGGTCGCGAATTTAAGTTATTACTTGAGGTTTTATTAACATTTCACATCTAAGTACTTAGGCACAGGTATTAACAGTATTTACTTACGTTGTCAAAAAATTACTTAACCTTTCGGTTTCAATCTGAGGGACTTAGTTTTGAGAATCAAAGATACGATGTTTTGTTTTGTGAACTTCAATGATACAATGAAGTAAGTAATAAATTTATTTTTGTTATTAGACTATAAAACAGCACCTTTACACGTCAAAATAATATGTAAAAAAACTAGGTGAAGCCGAGCCTTCTTTAAACCGTTTGGATATTTCTTATAGCAAAATGACAAACGTATACTTAGTGTTTAATACTTCTTATGTAAACTATATATTGTTAGTAACTTTTATATATTGTACATGTACAGGAAATAAAGACTTAATTGGTTAAAGCCTACCATCGACCTTGCTTTCTATCCTCGTTTTATGATAAGACTCTAAAAAACTTTTAAACCTTATTCTTGTCCGGTTGCAAATATGCTAATATCGAACCTTAAATTATTCTTTCTTTCATTGGTTCAATGACAATAAAGCAAGCCAACACAGATAATTGGGATCTCGATTTCAAATTTTTTAACTACTGTTGATTTTACAAATGGGAAAGAAGCCTACCTATAACTTAGATATTTAACTGATAAAAGGTATTCGAACTTATTGGTGAACACAACACCACAGTACTTCTGCATACAATTCCATTTGACCTGATATTAACAAATATTTTTTACGTTTTATTTACTTGTTCGCGGAACAGTAAACATACCATAGAGTTACGTATTCTCAAACTAGACTTTTGTCCTTTGTACGGAAAATCGTGAGCTGCATTCCGTTTAAATGCCAAATATAATTTCATAGTAGTTGGACGGTTGCAGACCGGAGAAGTGTGTCCTTGGCAACAGTTTGTTGGGGCGTACTGAATGGAAACTAATGACGTAAAAGGTCCGAAGAGAATATTTTGCAATTTGCATTTTTCTGTTTCACAGTACTTTTATGACTAGCATCAAAGGTGTTCGCAATTCTTTTGTCAACAAAAGCAAGTAATGGGCATTGCCATGTTCAAAGTAGACAATATCCTAACTACGTCAATAGAGCCCGCTCCACAATACTGCATGCATCCAATAAACGAAGCAACGACGCACAGACATTTTGTGCACGTGTACTTGACTTCGCTTTGAATTAAAATGTAGGAGATTTTATCTCTAGCAGCCCATTCACACGGTGCTCACTGAGGCGTGGTTTTATGTCATTACTTACTGGTGCTCGTGTGATTTTGTCAACGTTCACAAGTTTTGAGTTTGAGCGCTCTGATGTCACATCTTTGCTCTAGTTTTAGATGAATATTTTGCAGCTTCAATTTCTTCTTACAAAGAGAAAAGATTTATATTATTTTTTCTTTAAAATCATGTGACAATGTGACGAGTGAAGAAAAATATATGTTTCAATTATGTAAAGACGTATGTTTTTAAAACCTTTGATAGTCAGAATAGAATAGGTATATTTTAGTTCGTTGACCCCCAAGTATTTTGTAATAAAAGAACAAAAACAGAAAGGGAGGAGGACAAGAGGACACAAACTTAAATCACATTGAACATTTCGATTGATTCATTATAGATGATAGAACAGTCAACAATATCATTACTTCCCAATCGGTCGGCAATGCACCAGTAACTCCTCCGTTGTTGCGGGTGTCCATGGGCGGCGCTGACTGCTTGCCACCATCAGGTTATACGTCTGCTCGTTTGCCGACCTATCACAAAAAAAAACAAATCATGTCGTCGTATTTTCCCACAAATTAAAAGTTATACTGTCCTTGATTATGCTGTGGACCGTGACGCAAGTACTGGCTACCGATTTAGTGCCGTGTCGACTTGCGGTTGTAATAACATGACGGTACTTGCGCTGCAAATGCTATAATGGATACTTATGTATGTACAGTGGACATTCATCATGTCGTCGTCGACAGCGCCACTTACATAATTCTGGTAACAACGTGGAAGCATCACTTCAGACTTCCAGGTTTCATTAAGCTGTCTCATCGTTTTGTTAATTAACGGACAATATTAATTTGTTGCTGTTTTTAAAGTATTTTTACAAATACTAACTTCTGGATATAGAAAAATGTTTTAGCATTGAATTAAGTTTGTTATATTTACGATTCAGTAATCAAATAAAAGGAGCGGTGATCTTTCACTACATGTATGTAAAGTAGTCACAAAATAAGCACAATCAGTGAGTTGACACGAAAAGCTTGCCATTTTTGTCTCTCTCACCAAAATAACTCTTTATCTACAGCCGAGCCGCCGCCATTGGTGAACGTGACAGTCCACGCGTCCACCATCCTGGCGCTGATCTTATGGAATGTGGCCGGCGATGGAGGCCATCCCATCATAGACTTCACCGCCCAGTACCGTTCAGCAGCCCCTGTTAACGGCACTCTAGAGCCTTGGAGGCCTATCAGCCCTAACCACATCAGTCCAAACTCGGTAACGTATAAATGATTCGCTTTGAGAGAACTTTTCTTTTGTGAGGGGAAAATCATTAAATCACTTCTCCTGCCCAGAGTCGGGCGGGAGGGAGTGTCAGACTCTTACTGACTAAAAACCCCCCCTGTTCCTTCTCCTGCTCTGGGCCGAGGTGGCGGTGCCTCATTGCGCTTACCCCGCAACCCCGGCTGGCTTTGAGAGAACTTGGAATTTATATTTTCTGCTACTATGTCCACCCTAAACATATGATAATCTAGCTAGACCATCGCTAACCGCTAGGCGAGGTATAACGGCTAAACATTGACTATATTCGCGCAATTAACTATTTTTTCTGTGAACACCATTTCAGCGCCAAGTAGACGTGTACCACTTAGACACGAACGCGTCTTACTGGTTCAGAGTGTGGGCAACTAATGCTCTGGGGCCCGGTCCACCGGTGGAGGTGCTAGCCACCACGCTCTACAGCGACCAGGAGGCTGGTGAGTGATCAATTTTTTTTACGTGTATTGGCGACCACGTGGCATTCTACATTTAGCACTGGTCCACGAATGTGTCCTACTTGCTGTAAAGATTACCAATTCTGTGGCTTAATATTATTCCAATGGTGAGGCAATCCGGATGCTAGCGTGTGTGAGTGTTAAGTTTGTATTTGCAATATTGGCGCCCAACATGGGTTTGACCCATAAAATAGATGACACCCAATTGCAACTGACGTACAAATAATATACCAAATTTTACCAGCTCGAATATCACTGCGTTTTGCCAGTCGTTATTAATATAGGTTTCATTAGTATATCCAAAACGTATTGTTATGTAATGGGCTGGCCATTACATAACAAACAAAATAACATAATAACGATTTGGTCACATATAAATATAATTCATACTTATCAACATTTTTTCTCAACGGTAATTGTCGTTGGTCTCATAATGATATGGTAATAAGGGATCCTTTAACACACTCACAATCTTGTACACTCCCCAACTTTCAGCAAATAACTCATAGTTTTAAACCTAGACAATGCTGGCTTACTGAATTTGGTCGAGTAACGAGGCTTTTTTATGGTATGGGTCGGCAAACGAGCAGACGGATTACCTGATGGTAATGGACATCCGCAACAACAGAGGAGTTACGAGTGCATTGCCGTTATACGTTTTGGGGACTAGGGATTTAGAAATTTAGGGATTGGAGAGGGCTTGGGGGAGGGGAAGGCTTGGGCCTCCGGTAACTTCACTCACACGGCGAGACACGATGCTGCAGTTATTTCACGTCGCTTTTCTGTGAGGCTATGGTATCACTCCGGTCGAGCCGACCCATTCGTGCCGAAGCTTCTGCTCTCCCACATTTCTATTTCAATATGTTCTTATACTGATCGTATGTTATGAACAACATTACAGAGCTATACAAGCACTTCTTCTCTGGCGCTGAGCAGTTCGACACGCGTACATGGGTGGCGGCGGTGTGCGTGGTGATGGGCACGCTGGTGGTGCTGGCGGCCGGCACGTGCGCCGTGCTCTGCCGCGAGTGGCGCCGACACGGTGAGCCCGCGCCCTAGCGCACGCATCTCCCGCGCCTATACTTCTTGTGGCGCTGACATTAAGCGGCACTAGCGCTCAAACTCGACCCATTCCATTGATAAAGTTATTAGGATAAGATCGGCGTTTACTTCGAAATAAATTGATTTTGGACAGCATCATTATCCTCAAACATTGTTAGAATATAGCCCAAAGTTTATCAAGCTCTAATCTCACTGCTGAACAGTCAACGGTCACGTGTTCTGCAATTAGAATCGATGACTATTATTGAAGGAGTAGGTATAAAGCTCTATAGGCACTTCATCGCCAATTAAATGACGTAGTATTCAAATATCTTTTCTCTCTTCAGTATTGTTGTTACCCTTTCTTTGAGGATAATGATATTGTCCACAAGTATGTTAAAGATTTTCGAAGAAACACCTTTATACACCAATTATTCGCGAGCATTAATTGCGCAGCCATCGTTCGAATCGATCACGACAAGAGCAATCAATTCGATCGGTATACGCCTTTAGCAATAATTTAAAAAGTTAATTACTAGTGTTAGACTTTATGTTTTAAGCTTGAAACGTATCAGTATGAAGAACAATAATTATGTTAAATTATTTAATTGTTATCGTCCGGTAAAATGATCCTTAGGATGTAGGGAAACGGATAGAAATAGGGAGATAGTAGCGTGCTCAGTGATTTTTTATTTATTATATTTAAGGTCCGAGACCGAGGTTGAATATTCTGTTTGAACATAAATCTGTTTTTGTTATCGTTATATATTTTCTACCAATATTTAATTTGTTAGGTGTAAAATAATTCCATTCTGAATTTCTCCAATACTTTTAACACAGTTTACAATTATCTACGCACAGCTTAAATTCTCAAATAATGTATAATATTTATTATACAACATTTATTTCATACTATAAACAATTATGTATGCATTTTATATATAGTGCCAAGTTTTTAAATATATAAAAAATAAATAATAACAAAAAATTCTTCCAATTAAATACTTATTAAGTAAATTAAAAAGTAGAATAGATTTTTATAAAATAATAAAATAAAACAAACGGTACAAAAATAAATTTTGAATTGTTCATTAGAGTTTTGACGCTACGCGATTGGTGCTATGCAAATAATAAAATTTTACTATTATAATAACTGTTATACCAAAAAAATTAATTGATTGAATCTCGCTTTACATAGAGTTACCTATTGCTGTATATTGCTTAGGTTTTGCTAGATTAGGTAAATTAGGTAATCCGAGTGAAGTTACTGTCGGTATGGTGTTTCATTAACATTTTTTATAAACATAATTTTACTCACAATTTTTTAACTTCATTAGCTGAATAATAGCTTAAAACAATATGGGGCACAATTTTTGGTTACAAAATTAATTTGAAATATAACGATTTATAATGTACCTATGCTTGGAAAAACAGCTGTTGTGTGGGACATACTCCATGTCCTACAGTTGAATGGATACAACGTACCGACAGACTCACAAAGAACATTAGTATACGGACCAATAATAACTACAGGACGTCAATTATAACAATAGATCTGTGCTATATAATTTTTCAGCAGTTTCTAACTATATACTGAAATGCAGCTGTTCTCTCTTTAAACTATTGTCGATACATGGCTGTGTTTACAACACACTACCAATAATAACCAATATTACTGCTTTTAATAATGATTATATATATATAATATTCAAAACTATATAGCTAAAATATTACAATTTCAATTAAATAATAAAGCAATAATATAAATATAATAATTCGATTTGATATTTTAAACTCATATACCTCGTGATAATTTAATTATAAAATAATATTTAAATTCTCGCTCTCAATAAATGGATAATTTAAAAAAAGAATATTATATTCTTTCGTTCTGTGTTAGGTAGATAAGTCAGAAAACGTAATAATTAAAGTAAGTACATGATATTTTAGTATGGAAAGCGAATAGTTTTAGGTGTAATAAAGCTTTATCGCTAAGTAGACAATTAAATCTTGCCAAAACATTATTTTCTAATCCACGTAGTGTATTTGTGATTTTGTGATAAACTATATTCCAAAAATACCAATAATTTTCTTGTGATATCTTGTAGTATAAATTGGATATTCTCTTCTTATTTTTTATCACAGTTATTTTTTAATAGCACACATCTTTTTCATCGTTAAAAATTATAAATAAATAAAATAATATAATATAATCTTGCCTTTAATAAATTAATATTATGATAATAATAAATATATTCATCGGATCGCAACAAATATAATACTTATAGTGAACTTGCATTAGATATCTTGTGATGACTTCTGGACCACTATAACTATACTATAGGACCACTTTTAGTATTCTATGAAAACACTATTTTATATCTATTGCTTATAAGTACAATTATAAATTATATACACAAATATAAATGCGATAGCTCGCTTAGGTAGGGCTTAAATTTATTCGTAAAATATTAATAGTGCAATAAAATTATTAATAATAAAATTATCGCATAAAATGCACAATAATAGTTATTAAATTTAGCACAATAAATTAATTAAGTGACAGAATAACATGAACTCCATAAAAATATTTTATTTTCAGATATTCAAATTATACATATATTCGTATAAGTTTATATGCTAATGCAAAAAAGTTTTTATATTATTTAGTGTTGCCATCATTCTTCAAGTAACTCAAAGATTACAGCAGGTACCTAGATGGCCAATGATATGATTTATAATTATTTGAAAATTTGGTCATTGAATGTTTTTTTTTAATTTCGTATCTTTAATTAATACAAAACTACTTTTTCAGTCGAACTTATAAGATTTAATTTATTTTGGTCATTTGTATCAAATTCAGCAATAGTACCTGAGTAAGTTCGATGATAAAACATAAAAAACTGTATAAAATATATTCAATGCTGGTATGATACGAATGTGCCCCTTAACTATACAATAATATAAATTTCAAAAGTTTATTAAATCGACACTATAGAGCTCTAATGCCGACTTTAAGATTTGCTTTTAACAATAGCAATTAGAATTTTGAAATTTTAGTAAGTTTTTCAAGAGTGGCTTGGCATAGCGCTCAAGTGCATTATATAGGGACGAATTTCATATTTTTCTGACGATATGAGCTAATTTCTTATAACTGGCTCATGTTGTAATGTTGACTAACTATTAGATTTGTATTAATTTCCATATTTGTACTATCTGAAGTGACTTCCAAATATGAAATTCGTCTGTAGGAGCAAAATATGTTGAGTACTACAGTCTCTCCAATTTTGCTGTCATAACGTAGACATTAGAAAATCGCTCTTAAGTCTATGCTGATTACAGACGAATTCCGAGAGCGAGTTTTCATTCTTCGATCTATCCGCATGACTTTTGCATAATCTCTTAATAAAGAAGAACGCCAGTATCTGCCAATTTTTTATTCATTCGAGATTTTTTTCTTCTTTCCCCTCTATCGCACTCGCTTGGAACGCACGCTTGGACTGCGGGGCCGCACACTAACAAAACACACACACACTTGGTGACGGTATGTATTACTAACCAACCCTCGACCTGTCTCCTGTCCCTACTGCTCCTCTCTTCACCCCAAAGACTACGTCGAAGATCAAGACGTAATGGAACTAGTGCCTAACATAATCCTGAACCCTGGCTTCATGGAGATGGACCCCATCAGGCCGCGGGAGCCCCTTGCCTCCTCCATCATCAAGTCGACGGAGTGTCCTGGCCCCGGGAAACCGAGGCGTGTTTGATTCTCGTCAATACTTAACCTTAGGATATTCTATCGCACCGATTCCGGCCTATTGTCATGATCGTGGGCGACACACGACAGAACCGTGGTGGTGGATAAAAGCTTTAATTAATGTTTGGACTATAACCAACCAAGAAATGGGCTCAGTGTTCTGAACTATTTGCTGCTGCATACGCCATTATCAAAGGTTAAATTTAAAGATATGTCTTTAATCTTTGAGAACATGGAAATCTAATTGCTTTGGCTCGTTCGTCAATTTCATTGAGCTGCTTAGAGACGCTTTTATTTCCATCACGGAGTCTGTGCCAAAACGTGAATTTTTGATGAAGAGGAGTACGTTTTTAAATATCAGTCGATGGCATTAATAACTGCTATTTGTTCATGGAAATTGGTTGGTTGAGCAAAGAAAAAACTCAAATTGATAGCGCCTTAACATTACTTTCATCTGACGGTATTTGAAAACGGCTCACTAACGCTAGGGTAAAGATGGACATATCAAAGCATGTTTCGTTTAATTAGCCGATCGGAGCGATAGGGTAGCCGGGTTAAATAGGGCACTCAGGTTTCTCAAAAGTGAAGGACAAACATCTCCCCTGTATAATGTCCGTAGGCGCTAATGTATCATAAATCTGCATGTCAATTATAAATATAAAAACGCTCATTAACGTAATCGAATGACGTCTGTCAAACGTCATCAATGACATCTGTCATCGAGAAAAGATTTTTCAGTAGGTTGTTGTTTTAAATATTCGTGAAATGTGTATTGTACAAAAAGCTTGTCACACTTTTGAGTAACAGTGTTGCCAGTGAAGCAAATAAAATGCTTGTAACTAATCACTGAGAGAGATCATTAATTCTAGATTTGTAAGCGTTTCGTGTTTAATCGTAGCGGTGGTTGCCATATACAAATAAGAATAAAGTAGTGTTCGCTATGATATTGTACACATTTGTTTCTAAGAACTGATGCTTGCATTTACTTTTTATACATTTACACGTATTCGCCGTAAGTCTGACACGGACGCTTTATTTTATAATTGTAGCTTATAGCGACGGTAACACGTAGGTGCTTGGTCCAGTTTGCACCCTTAAAATCGAACAATAAAAGATAAAATATTTTGTTAATTAAAACAATAAAAGAAAACGATAATACCGAAACAATAGATACAATTATCAACAAACAGACCAGGCAAATATTTTGTACGGCACTAGCTACATGTTACCATTCCTATAAAATAGTCTCCATTCTGGCAACCCCAAAATCTGTTTGAAAACTTTTTTAGGAAACATATTGCTTAACGTTCAATATTGTTAATGTTGCTAGCTATAGTGATAGAATATTTTTAATTATATATATATTTTGCTATATTTTAGATGATATTTTTATAACGAGGATCTCATGTATTTAAGACACTTAACATTTTAATAATGAAATGTCAGTTTATTTTCAATTTATTTGTGATTTTGAACGCTGTGATTATTATGTTTTCCGTATAATTGAGTTTTTTTGTAATGTAAGGTAAGGTATAAGTGTAAATATTTTGATATATATATCGTACGGAGACTGGTGCAATGGTATTGAATAAATAGTTAGTATATATGTAGTGGCGTAACATAAGCCTACCCGTGGAAGCGCCCAGTGTAGCGTAGCTAAGATACACTGCTTTGTTGAAAGTTTTAATAAAATGACAATATGGTAGTGGTTGTATTATCCGTGTTATGTCCTGCGACACTTGAAGGCAATGATGCGAAAGACTGGCCAGCTTTGTGAGCACCATCGGTGTTGTTGCAAACACTATACCACCTGACAGCTGTCAACTTTGACAGCCGTCAAGTTTGACAGCTGTCAGATATATGTTTATCGAAAAGACGTTTTAAAAAATAGTGATATAAAGCCACATTTGTCCCAATAAAGCTTACAAAGGCTGGTTCACAGAATTGTCGTGATTAGTCCGTCACGGCAGCTATAAATAAAAGTTGATGTTATAACATTGTTGTGTAAGTGTAAAGCTGTTTATTTTTGTATACGGCCTGTATACATATCAGGAAGCCTTAGCATGTAAAGAGATATAAATAGATATTTATTAAAATAACAAATTTTAAACTTCCTTCCGATCTTTTTGCTTGCACGCTTAGTTGTAACCTTTTAAATCACATGGATGCTGATCTTTGGAATTTTATAACAAAATTATTAAAGTATGTTTGTTTCGGAAAGCTCCTAAAATAAAGATACATAGATTATTCTTCCCTAGACGTGCAAGTAAGTTTTCTATTCTTCTTAGCTCATTGCCTTTCTGTGCTCTCACTACCTTCCTTGTCTATTCTTGCACTTCACTATAAAAGAAGTTATATATTTGCCAATATTAAAAGTCTATATTAAAACAATTACGTGTTACATAGGATTTGAAAACAAAACATTTTATATATAATTGTTAAATCATCAACGAAAACTTACTTTCTTAAAAAAAATGTATGGATATGTTTTAAATTGTCTTCATCACTTCTTTAGCCCCAGCATTGATTTGTAGCGCAGCCTTTATATCAGTGTCTTCGTGAAAGTGTTATTACTTTACATGGTATAAAATGAAAGTCGCTTTCTTTATCCCTAAATCCCTATTTACGCTGTAATCTTTAAAACTTTTTTTAATAGATTGAGTATTTGGTGGTTTTATGGGGTAATTTAGTATCAGCATTTCACCCTTGCGAAGCTGGAGCGGGGGTCGCTAGTTAAAATATAATTGAAGTAGAAAAGATTGTCTTTCAAATCCTAATGTTCACGGTGTAACGGAAATTCCTACGACGTTGTGGTTGCTTCAGATGTTCTAGTTATAAATGGTTGGAACTCTGCACGCATTGTATGGTGTTGCCAAAGTTTCACGCTGTGTTGCCTATTAAAAAAATCTTGTGGTTATAGCGCGAAAATAAAAAGTTCAGTTATTTTTTTTCTTATGTTTTGATAACATTATTTTGCTAACAGCATGTTTTGAAGTCAACTAATTCGTTACAAATGTTTAAAAGATAATTAGAAATATTACCAGTATTGTATAAGTATATTCTATCGAGGCCTCTAATATGCGTGTGGAGTTCCAACAGACGATTGTGTCCGTCATACGTATCATTGTGCTATCTATGTCAATTATGTGAATGTCTGTCTGTCTGTTGTGTCGTGTTGCGTTCTTGTCTGCACGCCTTCGCCTAACATTTTTCATGGGATTGTGCTTGTATTGCAGTTATATTTTTTCAAATAACTACGTTCGACGAAGTAACTTTATTAGTTTCAAACCAAACTTGAGTCCCGTACTCTTGAGAAAGACGATTACTTAAGGTAATTTGAGGTCGAACCACTCATATTTAGTGTGCCCCATTTAGTCCCAACGTTCTTTTTATACTAGTCTTACTGTGTAACTAGCAAAAACACTAAAAATGTTTTTTAACTTCCATAAGAATATTGTTTGCAATTAAGAAAATATTTTTGAGATGTAAAACAAGCACAATATCCCAAGTGCGCGCACTACTCCATGCTCTTCCTTTCAAATGATATTTATGAACAAATGATTGATATTTTTGTAACAAATACTGTATTCAATTATTTACAACATAGCCTTGTGTTGTGAACTCGTGAGGACTAACCGCAAAGTATAAGAAATATTTATCGTCTAGTTGTGGCTATCCTAGAACATTGTAATACCTACAAACCGTCCACGTATAGAGGGCGCACATTACAGAATAATCGCAATTTTAACTTTACCTCCTGCAAAAATCTTGCGACTAATTCTTCTTCCTCGTCTCGTAATGCGTAGCTCTCTTTAAAATCTAAATGTGTTTTCTCCTTCTCCTTCAAAACTCAATGTATTCGCCAAGAGAATGACTTTCCAAACGAAGTTGATCATGTTGCTACATAGAACTTGCTTGTAGCAATTACTTGTAAATTTTAATGAAACCGGCTGTGTTTGTCAATTGTCGTTTTTGGGTTGATGGGAAACTTTTATAATCACAGAAAAACAAAAAAAAATATATATTTCAAAAGATCTTGAAGCATTCTCTGTTACTGCCTTAATCATGTTTGTTTTGTCTTCAACATAATTAAACCATCAACTCAACTCAAGCCAGCTTAGACAAACGACATCGCCTAATGAATGCGTAGTCTAGATATAATGGTTGTTAGACTAAGTGTTGTCCTAGACTAGTTGTTGAACGCTAGCGTAGAGGGCGCGAACGACGGATTGAAGACTGCCAATCTACGAGAAAAGGTAACTTGATACTTGAATATGGCAATTGCATCAACATACGCTAAAGTTGAAAGTAATGTGCTGATGAAATGTGATCCTAGAATGAAAGATAATGTGTGTAAATGGTTGTGACGACGGCTTGGGTTCTGTCTGTTGATGCAAATGTCAAACATAGTGTGCGGTGTCTTATACGTATGTTGAATGTAGCGCTTCTGATTTTTCATTTTTGAAAAGTCGCGGTTTTGTACGGATAGGGTTTTGTAAAGCTGGTTTATTTAGGTCTGTTGATTAAAACTGCTGTAAATTGTTTGTAATTAATGAATCGAAAAGTTACAAGCCACTGCCAAAAGCATGAGTTGGTCTGCGATGTTTCCTTGCATGTTGCATGCCATTTTGCATTGTGCTCTGATTACCTACACATTTTTGTTTGATCAACAATCCTAGTTTGGCTCCTCCATTGTCGATCGGCTACTAACATCTTCATAAAATCGATCGTAAATGGTCTTTGGTCACAACAAAACAATGCATGAGTAGTAAAAAATAAATAAATGTCAAATCTTTATGTGGATTTCATGTTATTCTGTCTGTTGAGTTCTGTGCACTTGTAGATTTAATTCTCGTACAAAAGACGTAATATATGTTATCATAGTGTTATAGTGCTTATGCGGATTCGTATGACTAATTATATGAATCTTCGAATTTATATAATCAGTGTTGTTAAGCTGAGGATGGACCAAAACATTATGTTTCATATTTTCTTGTGGTAATTCCATTTATGTATAAAGTGTAGTTTCTCGACACTAGAGGCGCTAGTGTAGTATAAAGTCCGCTAGTAAACACTTGCTAGCTAAATATTCTCTTCCCGATTATGAACCGAAATGTATCAGTTATACAATGTATAGTTATATAATGTATGCTGGTGATAGGGACTTTAAGCTACATTGGCGCCATCTAGTGATGATGAAACGAAATCAATATTATTTCGAAATTTATATATCTGTCAAAGAAAATTTCACAGTTTGCTGATTTAGGAACTTTGCTATTAAACATTATCACCGTGTTATGTCTAGTAACAGTCTGTTCCTTTCCTTAGCTTAACATATACTTGACTATCGGCGTATATATCTCGATTTACTTTATATTAAAGTAATAATTACCTTAGGTTAAGATTGCCTTTTATAAAATTAAGCACGTCCAGACGGTGAGGGCAGCGAATCGTTTAGTTTTTCGCTAAATATTTAATTCATAAGTGATCGTGTCATAGTAAATAAATAAAAACTGGATATTTTTTTTTTTTATTTAATTTATTTTATCTATAAAAGTGTACCTTTTGTTAATATTATAAATAAGAGGGATATTTTTTTATTATTATTTAAAAAGGTTTTTTTTTTGTTTTCTTCCAAAGACGATTTATTTTTTTATTCTTCTTGTATTTATTAATTATGGCAATGTGTTACCAAATATTGTTTGTTTATGCGCATTCCTTTTATAACCACATTTCTGATTATATTAGGAATTTCAAATATTCATCTTATTTAAGTCACACTTGTATTATTTATCATGTCTATATTATTATCATATTAAAGCTACAATGTTGCTTGCAATAAAAATGGTATTATAATTATTATTATTACATTTTTTGTACTGAAATGTTTATATGTTTTTGTGTGTCAACCTATTTAAAACTGATAAATTAGTTTTTCAAATTTAGTTCAATATGATAAAGTTAATATCAATTCAAGAAATAATACCAATTTCTGATTAAAACAAGATAGTTTTTAAACTGATTGTATTTGAGAAACGAGGGTTCTTTGAAATGTCCCCCGTGAGATGGCAGCTCTGTGGCGTCAGGTCTGACCACATGTCAAAACACAAACATGATAGGTTATAGTTTTGGGTCAAATATTTGTTAATGTAAATGTGTTGTGGTTAATGTAAAATACCACAGTTTTGGGCACTCTTCTTGAGCTCAGTCTTCAGCTCGGCAAACTTTTTTTGATCTGTAATCCATAATGAAATCAATAATACTTCCAAATACTTTATAATTTACTAAAAATGATACGATCAATAAGAATATGTGCTATCTGACAGCTGTTTGAACCTGACGCATACGAAGCGCCGCCTGGTGGCAGAAAAAGTATAAAACCCTAATTACTACCATTTTGCTCTTTGCTAGTGTACAACAAATAAAAAGAAAAAGAATATTATTTTAAACAGTTGTGATTGCTTAAACAAATTATATGTATTTTCTTTATAGAGTTATAATATTATTACACAAATGCCAGTCATTGTAATCCAAAAATGTTAGTGCAATACATTTTTTTTTATTATATTGTGTTTTCTATTATATTTTATTATTGTTAACGGGTAAATAGTTGACTTTGGCTAAAATTTAATTGAAATAGAAACATTTTGCACAGTATTCTAGGAGCAGAGTTCTAGGATTGTGCCGTGTGTGGCAATAGGCCCATCGCTGAATACATGGGTCATAAAATATATATCATAAAATATATAAAAAATGGTCACATAATAAGCTCCATCGCCTCCTTCAAGGGTAAAAATGTTGTCACGTTATGATATGTATAAAATACATTGAACAAAATAATATAATAAAATCACAAAATTGAAGAAAGTAATAAAAATTATTTTAGCGTTATTTTAATAAATATGTAAAAATTAATAATAATAGTAATACAAAATCGACTATTTACCTGTTTTAAGAGAAGTATTATTTAGTAAGTTCGTTCGTTGAGTTAAGGCGAAATGTGGTGCCCGTCGTAGAACATAATGATAAGTACATTGTTGTAGCTAATGTTGGAGGTCATTCCCATTAAAACTACATTTTACACAAATATAATCGTTTTATTTTAGACCCTATACATTTTTCATTCTACAAACCTATTATTGTGAATGGTGATACTTAGCAATTTATTTATTTATTTATTTGTTTTGGAATACTTACAAACAATTTTAAGTTAAAAAATATTAAAAAAAATGATAGGTGCATTAAGTATACAATTTTAAAATCAACCACGTTCTCTATTTATTTCGTTATATTGCCTATATGTATTGAATTTTGTTATAATTAGGTATTTGTGGTTAGTTAAACACGCAAATTAGAACCGAAGTTCTTTGTGCTGAGTGATTTAGTCGCCCAATAAGTATAACAAAGTTTATAATAAACAATTCTTAGATGCACGGTCCCCGGTGACCTACGCTTCTTTTACTGGGAAAAATGTGATTTATCAAGTTGTAGTCACTGTTAGACCAATGACGCTTGTCTAATTCTAATTAGGTACATATCAACAAGCTAATTACGGTAAGTATTTAACACTAATTTAAAACAGTTTAGTGCAAATTACTATAAAATTTTGCATTGTCAATAAAATTAGTTAACAATTCGACGAAGGAAACGGTCGTCGAGAACGTCCACGTGCCATTACCTACTATTCATGGACGACGCCTAATCCTCGCCAAGTCAGCTTTCAGCGCCTGCTGGCAAAAACAAAGATTAGGTATAATTTAGTATCTATAGTTAGATTTTACTAAATTCCATTCACAAACTTTAATATTTTTATGTCAAAACTCAAGGGTCAGTAAGCAATCAAAGCCGCCAGATGGGGGGAAGGATCTCATTCACACGGCGAAACACAAAGTAAGTGTTGCTTCACGCTGGTTTTTTGTGAGCCCGTGGTATCACTCCGGTCGAGCCGGCAAGATTGATGAAAAGTAAGAGGGTTTGCAAATATCTACTTACTATTCTTCAGCTAAGCAGGCTACATTTGAAAGAAATATAGACACCGAGTGTTTGTTACTAATAGTTACGACATCGACGTACTACTGTGAAAATGTGTACCTATTTACTTATGTACTGCTCTTCGTAGAGATCTGAATTATGGTACGACCGCTCTTCCAACAGTATATACCTAGGTACCGACTTGATATTGAAAGCTGAATTGTGATGAACCAGCCTAAGAAAAAAATCCTAAAACTACGAAAAGCTGACCAACGACGTTAAGCACGTGGGATGTGAAGCCGTGGTCAAAATTTACTTTTTAAAAATTCAACACAAACTTTCAAGTCCAAGACCTTCATATCTAAGCGACGTATTGCTTCCTGCAGCTCGAACAGACCGGGGTCACCGGGTAAATATGGGTAGTAGTCGTCAAATTGTGTCCTCATGCGGCGCCGCCACTCCTCGTTGTACAGCCGTCGGGCCTCCGCCAGCTCAGCCGCGTAAGCCAACTCGTTGTTCAGAAGCAAATCCTCGTCGGTATCCAGAGAGATAAAACTGCGAACATTCATTTATGTAATAGGTAGTACCTATAATAACTATCTGCTATTCTTAAAAGTTAATTTGCGAAATCACTTCTGAATCCGCGGTGAAATCATGTTTTTTTAAGTGTCGTATTCTCAAATGATCGGGAAGGATCTCAAATCGTCGAAGGATCGGTGTGGAAGCGAGATGGTGGGGCCTTTGCCCAGCAGTGGGACATTTTTTGTGTTTTTTACACAGGTTAGTAAAAAAATAATCTCAAATGGAGTGAAATCTACATTGGCGCCACCATGTGAATAACGAAGTGGAAGGAACTAAAACAAGTGAGTATTTTGACGTTTGTGTACAGGCGAGATGAGAAGCAAAGTGGTGTATACTTTCGAGATAAGATTTACCTACTATTTACAGAATTGCACTGGTGCTGTTAAGTATAATACTAAGAAACGGATAACTAATTTAGGGATACAAGTGACGAAGAGTAAATAAAGACTCGTTTGGCTTAAACTCATAGGCGAAAGTAAGATATAGAGTTAACAAAGTAGATAGTTGTCTGCCTTTGATTATTCCATACCTATTTAGAGAACTCAGGTAATATGGTGGAAAGGCGTCCACAGCTCGGCGCAGATGCTCCCAGGTGTCAGCATAGTGGCAGTCCCTGTACTATAAGAAACAAAAACAAACCAAAAAATTGGTATTACGTAACATATATAATATACTAGCTACTCTCGCGCGGTTTCACCCGCTCAGCTTCATTTGATCATAGTGTGATGTTTTATAGCTTATAGTACTCAGGAACATTGTAGCTATATACCTATCAGTGAAAGATAACATTACACATCATGTCTTTATTGTACGGACCAATAACATTATAAGTTTAAAAGTTTAATGATTCTGATACTAACAGGACATTTACAAAAGTTGTACTATTTACATTTCCTCTATTACAAAAAAATGTTACCGACCCTTTTATAAAATCCGTAATCAATTTCGGAGTCCGTCATAGCTCTCGACAGCGGAATACTGGAAGCTGTACTCAATGTTCGTCTGTCGAACGCTCTGACGCTGTCCAGGATACTGTCACTCCTTGAAGGCAGGTAGTCATAAGGATCAGGGCACACGTACGGAGTCAGCGTAAAGTCAGGTATCTCCAAATCTTCCACGTAATCTAAACGATTTTTAGGTATAGAATTCAATAATGTTGTAAACATGTCCATTGTGATGGCGCATGAAGCTGAATATTACTGTAATAATGAATTTCGGATGATTTTCTGAGTTACTAAGTAAGTTACTCACGCCAAAAGTATCTGGGATAGCGATACATTTGGTTAAGTTAACAACGCGTCAAAACTCACGTATACCGGTATGACCCGGTTCGAAAGACTTGCGAAACTAAAGTTTGGTCGATAGGTTCTACGTGATAGTTGCCATGCGACTGATGCTACTAACGGAAGTTTTAGCACATGAAGTCACGTTTGAAAAAATTCGGCGAAATGGCTACGTGACGATGCACAGATTCGCAAATTTATATATCTCAGTACTAGGTTCCGCCGTGGCATGTTGATAAAAAGTAGCCTATGTCCTATTCCGGAGTATATTCTGTGTCTGTGCCAAATTTCATCCAGATCTGTCCAGCCGTTTTAGCGTGATTGAGTAACAAACATCCAAACATCGTAACTTTCTCATTTACAATATTAGTAAGATTAGACAATTTTTTTTACACTTTGCCTTTTTGACCAAGTGTGTCCATCTGTTGACTTAATGAAAAAGTTGGATTATTATAATTTTCAAGTAGGTATTAGGTAAGTACGTTCTGCTTGAAGCCAATACCTAGATACTTTATACTCTTTTTTATGCAATATTGTGGCGGATTACCCATGGTCACCCGCAACGCCAGTTAGTGAATAAGTTCGTTTTGGGATTATATTTATTAAAGAGGTTTTGGGGATTAAGCAATTGACGAAAGATAGGTCCTCCGGTAACCTTACACGGCCAATCACAAGGCTATGGTAGTTTCATGCCGGGTTTTTGTATTACTCCAGTCGAGCTAGCCCATTTGTGCCCAGGAAAGGCGCTTACACGCTTAGCTTCTTCTAATAAACTGTTTAGGTCTGATTTATTTCGTTGCGGGATCCAAGACAGTCATTTATGTCCCTGGAGCGCGCTGAACTTCAGTGTTTCGGTATTTTCTGTATTTTCGGTATTTACTGTAGATCCTGGCTTACAGGAGTTTTGGGAGGAAATAACGGACTTGTCTCATTTACTTAAAAAAAACTGTTAACTAGGTAAGTTGATGATTTTTTTGTTTTTTCTTAATTATAAGTGTACATTGTGTACAATGTACAAGTGTACAATGTGTATAGCAGGATTTTTTTTATTTATTTATTTTAATATGTAAGTTGATTGACTTTCAATAGGTTTTACATAATCCAATTTGAATGAAATCATTTTATATTGACTTAGGCACTTGTATCCTCTTAATGAATTTGAATGATTGAATTTACAAAATCTTATTTCTCCTTCATCTTGAAACTGTACAGTCATAACATACTCATATTTACTAACTATGGGAACTATGTAGATAGTCTCACCTTACCTGAACTCCATTGTCTACGCGTCCGGAGCAGTTATGTAAGGCGAAGGTAAACTGATCGCCAGCCAGTGGATAATGTCTACGAGTAATCGAGTGCCCTATGGATCTTGTGACCAGGAAATTAGTGTATAAATGATTTTCTTGATTTCTGTGGTATGTATCATTAGTTTTTTTAACGTAAGTAGATACAGGTTCTCCGTTATTAAACGAGTTATATGTACTTGCTAGACACTCTCGCGCGGTTTCACCTTCTGCTCGGCTCCATTTAATCGTAGCGTGATGTTATATATAGCCTATATCACTCAGGAACATTTAGCTATCTATCAGTGATAGCTACAATCAGCAATCTATCAAAGAATTTTAGAAATCTCACCAGCCGTTCCAACTTGCAAAGATTACCCTCAAGTGCCCTCAACATACAACTTACTTACCAATTTGACCTCTTTATAATACTTAGTATATAAAGTATAGACTAATTTACAACAACGTAAACGTTTGACGACAAGACAGCAAACTTTTATAAGTAAGTACTATGAACAAAAATTGACAACTTTTTTTTATAATCTTTTTTTTATGTACCATACAAAACATCTGTCTTAAACAGCATGGGGTCTTGGGATATTTAGGCTAGGATTAACGCAGGTACCAAACAATTAAAAGTAGTGGTTTCTCCTTGTCTCAAGAGGTCTCGCCGTATGTCGCCGCTCGCCCGCAGTTTTGTAACATATTAAGGTTCGAGTTTAAATAAATCATACAAATATAAGTAGGTATGTAACTAAAAGCCTGATTCATGTTTATAATCTGACAATAAAAACGAAGTTAGGTACCTAACACTCAGTATTATTTATTGTTCATACGAACGTATATACATATGTATTATATTAGCTACTTAAGGGCTTAAATAATAAAAGTTATCGATCCCTTGTTCGTGAAAAACAAAGTAAATATTTCTTCAGTTCGATACGACATGTTGAAATCCAGTGATTGTACTTAGTAAGAACAATATAAGGACATGTTTACTTTTATTGACCGATTTGATAAAGGAAAACAATTAAATGTCGGTAACAAGTTGACACTAAGTAATATCCAACGCGTCTAGTCCAAGTAGATAAGAGTATGTACCAATCTAAGTAGGTAGATGTAATTAAAGAAAAATAAATATTATTAGAATGTCTCCTCATAGTCTTTCAGTTTATGAGAAAGATCTATTGTCTGTCGGTATATGAGACACAATAGAAAATACACTGTGTCCTGCAGATACCTACCTAGGTTAAATATTGCATTTGAGTACTATGTTTCACTGAGATGTTTCATTGAAATCGGTCCAGTACATTTCATGATTTTTGACTTGCAGTTTGTAAGTGGCTTTCTTAATTTTATTTAGTATTATATTTTTATTTAGTTTTACTACACTACTTACGATAACTTTTTACCGTAGGGTACAAGAAGAATGGCTTAAGAAAGTGTACAAGAAAATTATTAAAAAAAGGTTGAAATAACCAAAACCTTAGTTTTTTTTTTTGCCCCAAGGTGGAAAATCCCCAGGGAGCCCTGGACTGTCAGACTTTTACTGACTAAAAACCACCTTGTTGTCCCGTCTCTCACGTGGGCGTGAGGACGCGGGAATCAAAATTCATCCGCAGCCCCACTCGTGATGGCCTATCTCGAAGCGAGGTGTGTATCTCCCCCGTGACTCGCCTCTAGGCGCGCGCGGACCATCACGCAGGCACAATGCGCGCCACCGTCTCGGGCCCTATTTAACGGGATGACGGACTCTCCCCCAAGTCCTCTGTCCCGTACCTACCTAGGGGGGTCGGAAGAGAGCAGTTTCTGCCCTCCTCCTACGCCTAGTGCGTCTGCTGCGGGTGGGAAGAGGGTTTGTGATTTCCCTTTCCCTTTCCGCAGCCTCCTTCTGCAACAACACATCTTCACAGAAGGACACCACTGCAAACCAAAACCTTAGTTGAGTTATATCACCAGAGCATATAGGTACTCACAACTTTTTATAATCTTACAACTAGGTAGATACATACTCGCGTATGATAAATTGATAACACATGCTTTTGTCTATTAACTAGTGACTAAGCTATCGTTGGGAATCCCGCTGTGATGTTTTAGATTAACATAAATAATTGTCATTTTATGTTTATAACTGTCTTAAAATTTACCTTATTTACATTGAAATTTAGATATTATCTGCAAGGACTACCTACCTATTGGTGAAAAATATTACATATATTTTTTTATAAAATTGCACTTACAATACTTAATAAAAAAAAAAAAAAAAACAAAATTAAATTAGCAATTATTCATGTAATGTTCCTACAGCTGTACTTAAAGCTTCTTATACAGGTTGTTCTCAAAGACGAATTTCCTTTCCATCATGGTTATTTGTGAAAATAATCATTCCTATATTCAAGAGACCAACCCGAACTCATTAACAGACAGAAAGTCACCATTAAATGTTTAATGATCACTTGAAAGAATTCCAACGCATTCTCTTCAATTTCGTTAATGTAGAGCAAGTCATGTCTTCATCACACCTATCACTTATATCAGGGACACGGCATGAAACGTCGCCATCGGTCGGAAGTGTTTACGTTAGATGAATGGCAATCTGCCCATCTCGCCGTGAGAGACGCGTGACGGTACAAGACGCGCGCCCTGCTCGCCTGATCGCCCTTGCACTTGAATGTCGTCCCCGCAGCACATGCAAGACGTAGAGACAACACGATATCGCTTGTCTCACCCGACACGCTCCGTAGGTACAATCAGCTGTGGCGGGCGCGCGCGGCCCGACTCGATTCCGTCTCTCAGTCATGCTTCGATAGCGAACACAGATGGATGTGACTAACGGGTCGCCGTCGCTGCGACTTCGCGGTGGCGTGAATAACAGTAGTGATAGTAAGAAACATGAGTTGAATTTGTGCCCGAGTGTGATGTCACCGGAGACCCAGCGGCTACTGCCGCCGACTACGGAGACCATCATGACAAAGCCGTTCCCTATCCGAGGTAACTATAACCGCTTCTCTAGAATAATAGTTCTGTCCGACTAAAAATACGCCGGACGCGCGAATTTGTGACAGCTGCACGCTCACTGTTCGCGTCGTTCCTTCTCCCGGACGCTCAACTGCCTCTAATTTGCAGTGTCCTAGCCTCGGAACTGGACTATCATGCTTTATTTCCTCTCGCCGTAATAGCGTATCGATCATGAACAGCTTAGCAGTCATTTAGGTAGCGGTTTTATATTTATAACTGCGATATAATAACGCGCGAGATATTATATCGCAGTCGGGATACTTGTGCCGTGTACGCTACGAAACATTATTTGGGAATTTCCTACTTTGACACAGAAATGTCGTAAATCTGATAATTAGATTATGATGTCTGGTTTATTTTAGTACCTACATACAATTATCACGTTTTATTTGTGGCTCAATTAAGAACAATGTTTTTGTTGGCCCTATGACTCTGCTTTACATCTCGTAAATTAACAACATCCTGTATTCCAAGTTCTAGTAACGTTTTTATACGTAAGTATAGAAAAAAAATATAATTTAGAATTGTGAATAAAATAACATAAAAAAGATAATTTGAATCGTTCGTTAGGTAGGTACTTATTGTTAAAATATTTTAAATAGGTAACATGTAAATGAGTCAAATGCTACATTTTATTGTACTTATGTATAATATAAACATTCTCTAAGCTGACTTAATCTGACATTATGAGGCATGTTTCTTTGTATAGTAGGTAGATAGAGTAGGTAGTAGTCAGTGTTTATTATTTATATATATATAACTCAAGAGACTCGATTCCTTATCGGACAAGTTTGTTGCTGATAGCGTTGTCCAAAACGTTTTCACGTATATCCTGATATTATTATATAGTTTATTTATTATATTTTTTTGAAATTGGACTTGAATATAATTTAACGGATAATTATTGACATCATTAGGTATAACCTGTATCTATTATTTATATTGTTTGCCATTAAGTATTAGAAGGTACTTACTTATTAATTACAGAACACAATCGATAAAGAGTTAAGTAAAGTATTAATGCATAGAAAAAGACGAACTATTCAATAATAGAGCTTAATTATAATTATGTATTATAAATTTCAATACCTACGTAAACAATCCTTTTGAAGATTTTTATAAATAACCGTAAGGACAAAAATTAAATAGGTAACTTGAAAATTTAAATATAGTTCACTATTTAAAAACCAATGTGTAAGATATAAATTAATTTAAAATTGAGATATTGGTCATAATGACCGACCCTATGCCAACGCGACCTTGCGTTTCGTTGACCCACAATATCTAGACGACAGTTTTAGCCATGTGACTGAATGATCGCTCATTCGATTAATAATAACGCACTTTGTAAACCGGTTCCACATTATAACCACACAACCACAACTTTGCAGAAATACATACTTAGGTACCTACCTAAATAATTTTATAATAAAAAAACGCGCGAAACTTTTCAAACAAAAGTACCTAAACTATTTGCAACAATTTGAAAAATGGAACGTGGTTGTCTATGGCCTTTTCTTTTCTTCTTTCATTTTTTTTCTCCATAACAAGTGTCTCCGGAATTCACTCCACATAATACAATATTGCAAAGTATGAAACCTTTTTTTTTTTGTTAGAGTTGGATTCACTCATCTCTAATCTTATTGTATTTGAGGGATGTTGGAGACGGAAAAAATATTTAAAACTATCATGAAAGGACTAAATATGACAAAAAGGAAAGAGGGTCCTTTATTTACAGACCACCTTGTAGAGCCTTCATTTTAATTGCAATTTTACGTAGTTTCGTGCTAGAAATGCACAGTCTATTTCCATGAAAGAACTTTAGAACGAACGAAAGAACTTACCAAAAATTCATTAGCCCCTATGAATGCAAAAGCTACTCACCAAAATTAAATCAAACTTTACGTTACTTTATTATTAGAGTTATTTACTATGTAGGTACTAGGAATAACTACAAAATATATCAATAAAAATTTTCACAATTGGATATGTCATGAGTCAGGACCCAAATAAAATTAAAATTATTTCAGTATAATTTAACTCAAGTAGGATTGTATTATCATTTTTATACGTACCAAAAATCGAAAAGAATTTCATGGCACATTCGGATTAAAAAAAACATAAGATTATCATTGCGTAGGTACTCTTTTGTATTTAAAAACTCATTTACAGACATTAACTAAATAATTATATTATTATTATTTAATTTTGTATTTGAAAACAAAACACAACGAAACCCGACTTCTCAGTTATTTTCGTGTATGCGAAACAGATAGTCTGGTACAGAAATTGTAAGTAGGTAAACCAAGAGACATCAGTTTATATAATTATTTCCAATATCTTGTGCTCAACTGCTAACATCGATTTCTATAGAAACGTAGAAGTTTCTATTGCCCCATTTAGCGTACTTACAATCAGCGGTAGAGCTCACGAGGTATGATTAACGATAATTCAAATCGTTCTCTAGATAATATTGTGTAATTGGCAAATAATCCGCCTCTTACAACTTCTTGATAAGAAAACGATAAGAACGGAGTCACTGTTCATTTTAATCAATGAATATTTTAATACTACAGTGTCTTAATGTAAGAAAATAACAAGAAATTGTTTGTGTATAAAGAAACAATGTTATGTATAGTATTTATAATTTAACAATATATTTACTACCGCCCATTTACTTGTTATTTTTACTAAGACTTTCAATTTCCCGAAGAAAAAATATACCTATTCAGTGATTTTTTTGCAAATAGGTACCGGTAGGTACCTACCAATTAATTAATTCACTCCTCCATAAAAAAAATACACTTCAAATTCAAGTAAGTAACAACGTTATCAAAATTCATTCATGACAATTTCGAGCGCCGTTTTTTTTTATTCTTACTAAAGAGTTTTATCAAGCATTGATACTATCGACAGATAAATTCAATATTTCAATAATTCAATAAATTTTATCATTTTCAACATAAGTACATTTAAATATAAAACCTAAGAAACATAAGCGGATTCATCAATCCATACAGCTCCATCTTGAATAAATCGAAAGCTTTTGGCTTCCAATATAAGTAAGTAAAATAATAACATTTACACATGTATTGTAATATAATGAACTCTTTTAAGACAAAGTGAAGCGAATATTTTTAAAAGCATAATATCCAATCCATGTAACCAAATTATGAAAAAAATATTTCACTTATTATTAAATTGGCTGTTAGATCCAACTATAAGATGTCTTGTCGTACCTAAAAGCAATTTTCTTGGAAAATTGCTTTGTAAGAACCATCTGTTTTAATTGATTGACGAAATTGCGAGCCGATTTCAGTCTCTATACCAATGAAACCAGTTTTCCTTGAAAAAGTATATTACATTATTGTTTATATCATGGTTCAAATGTATTCCTATATCTACTTGAAGTTACTTACGCCTTTGACTGCTGACAGAAAACTTTTGAAGGCAAATCCTCCACTACGATAGGTCACCGTTGACCTTCCTGGTGCTTGAGTTAATATTCCTTCTGAACTGAGGAATTGAGAACGAAATAGATACTTTTGTCCTCTTTTAAAACCAAATCAGTGAATGTCATCACAGAAATTTGTCAATATATGTTTGCTTCTTGCAACAGCTATGAGATGTGGCCCTTCAGACTTTCTCTGTTATGTGTTCAGGAATCAATAACAGAGTGAGTGAGACCTTCGAGTTAAAGGCTAAATTTCTCCAACTATCTTACAATATGACCTCCGTACCACGAAGGCCGGTTCAAGGTTTTATGAATGACCTAATTCTTTGCTCAAATAGGAGACGTAGGTATTTAGTGGGATTATTAAACAAACTAGATCGTAGCTTTCCAGGAAAAAACATCAATATGGGAGTGCCACGCTTCAGCACAAATGTACTCGATCGATATAATAATGCGGCCTCTATTAACGCCGACGTGAAGCAACGCTTCATTGTGTTACCGGAGGCTCAAACCTCCCTTCCTTCCTTTGCCTAAGCTTCCCTTCATTTCTTAAACCTTAAATCCATAAAAATCTACAAAATGGCTGCTGAAGAACATGTTACTCTATTTTGGTATTTTACACGTCCCTATTCTATGAATTAAATAGTGATGAATTGCAGTTCTCCCAAACGAATTTGTCTTAATTTCTTTGCCACGGTAAAATCTGTCTTCTAGTTTCTCTTTGATCTTTCTTACCTACAACAGCTGAGATATTTCTAAACACATTGTAAGTATATGTACGGAAATGCGGTATGCGATAAGCATAATCTACATTTGGCGGCGAACATTGCCAAGAGATTGTATAGGTACAACAAACACACCATGTGCCCTATTTGTTTAGTGTTTACTAAAGAAAACAACATCTTTTGTTTTATCTATACCTAATAATCCAATATTTCCTTAAATTATTTAATCTTATTTTTCTACACTAAAAATTAAAAAATAATAAACCATAGACTAAGTTACGAAAAAAAAGTTTATGTCGTGTTCCAAGTTTAAAATTATTCGAGTCTTATTTAACTACAGACGATTCGGTAATCTATTCATTCATTATAGCTATTAACTGGAAAACAATTCAAATGTAGTGTGACTAATTAACCGACTTCAAAAAAAGGAGGAGGTTCTCAATTCGATTGTATTTTTTTTTTTTTTTTTTTTTATTTTTTTTTTATGTTTGTTACCTCAGAACTCCGTCGTTTATGGACGGATTTGCAAAATTTTTTTTATGATTGAAAGGATATGCTTCCAGATTGGTCCCATTCTTTTCAAAATCAAGTTTTGATGATGGGATCCATGAGAAATCGAGGGAACTCCTCAAATATTATAGGCAACTATATAGTAATTTTAATATTTTCATAGAGCACTCAAGCATTTACAGTCAAAAAGTAATGTTTGATGAGGTGGAACTGGTGAAGAAGATCAGAAATGGATGATGAAACTTGACACTCGCATAGATATCACAATCAAGGTAGTTCAGCAACTATGAAAATGCACTGTAAACCAATGATCTTAAATAATTATGTTGGAAATGTTATCATCGAACTGATTTAATGATGATTATGGAGCTGGAAGGTAGGCACTGGAACTGCGTACCTAATTAATATATCCTAGCCGTGTTTGGGCTTGTTAGAATTGTTATAAGATGCACTTTGGCTGTAAGGTACTATTGAACTGATGTGATGATGAAGCTGGAAGGTT